TGCCACCTATCACCCTGATGAATGGCTTAGCTGGTCTGTTGTCATAATAAGCTGAGTAAACAAAGAACTTGAAAGTGGATCCCAACACTGGTTTCCAGTCAACCAAGGACTCATTGGTACTGGGTGGAGCAGGTGTCTTCCACCAGTCATCTGGTGGCAATGCAATCTTGGTGATGCCTTTTGCAGTGGGAATGCTTTGGTGAGGAACTCTTATATCAAACTTGAAAATGGTGTGATCACCAGATGTCCTTGTTTGGTGATGGGAAGACGCTTCAATTGCTAAAATTTCTTGAAATATTGCAAAAATGAAAACCAATAGAATGGTGACTCCCATGATGCAGATGATGAGTTTGCTGTTGCTTTGTCTGGGTGGGATGAAGGGTCTTGCCACTTGTCTGAGCCACTTTTTCTTCATGGTTATTTACTCAAAGGCACTTCTCTTTCATCTTGCCTGCCATTGAAAAACATGCAGTGATTATAATCAAATCAAACTGTGCCACACCTGCAAATCTGTCAACATGGCACTTTTTTTTATCAAGCTAGAATGTTTTGGTTTTCCACTTCTTTTTTTTTGGATTCAAATCTATTTTCATTTGAACAAAATGCAATTTTGTAATTAAAGGGTGAATAAATCCACTCTACTATGATTGGATTTTGGAGAAGAACATGGAAGAGCAACCTTGAGAGCATTTTAATGAAGAAAACATAATTTTATGTATAACCCAAGGCCTATGTGCTTGAAGCATGAAACTACAGTATTTTTAAGATTTCCTCACTCCAGGTTTAATACAGTGTAATGTCACTTTGGTCTGAAAATCATGCTTTGAATCTGTGTGTCTGAAAAGCACAATTGAGCCTTTTGAATGTGTTCTAGCAAGATGATTCAGGCATACTATGAAATACATTAGGAACAGCATTTCAAACCATTATAATGTTTTTTCAAGTATCAACTGGAGCAATTAAAGATCCTTTTCATTATTTCATTTTGCATGGGCTCATAAATCAACACTTTTTTGATTCACATTCAGGTTTGTATCTGAAAAAAAAACACATGAAAGACGAATTTCAAGGGTGGTTCAATGCAAGAAACATAACTTTATAAATTGACATTTGCACTTGGAATTATCAATTCTTAAATTATTTTGCTGTTTCATGCCCTAAGTTTAATTAGTCAAATTGGTCCAAAAATCATTCTATGAATATAAGCCACCAGAGCATGATTGAAGGGAAGTTTCATTATGAAATGTGACCCAGGAATTTGAGAATCCAGAACCAGAACTTCTAAATTAATCCAAGCCAAACAGGATATAGAGGCATATTGTAACATGTATTAAGTTTGAGGAACTTACAGTTGTAGCAAGACACTTTTTTAAATGTTTTAATGAAGCAAAGGGCTCTTGAATTCAAAATTTTTTTTCTTACCATCAGATTTATAAATTCCCAGAAGCGCAAGAGACAAATCCCAAGCAAAGTTTCATTGCAGAAATTTTTTTTAAGAATGAAGAAAATGTTGCTTGAGGGAGTAAACATTTTTCCTGATTTCATAAATCCAGGTTTGATTGAGTCAAACTTGTTCAACAATCCTGTTTTGAATCTGGCAATAAACAGAAAAGGTAATTTTCATCAGATAAATTTAGCATAAATCAGAGAATGCAGAATGGAAGCATTGGAATTACAATCAAACCTCTTCAAGTTGAAGGGACCAGCAACTAAATTCTACTTGGTGAAACATCCATTTGTGCTGTGGGGAAAGAAAGAAGAATAAAATGTTATTGTAAATGGTGATATTCTATAGGCCTTAAAGATGAATGCCTTTGATTTGAGGAAATCTTTAATGCACTGTTCCTGAGGGAAATCAGACAGGGACTTGAAAAAATTGACACAGGAAGGTACAGTATTTCACTTTGGGAAGCTCAAGTCATTCAGGTTCTAAATGTTTTGCTATACTTTTAATAACTGCAGAAGCTGCATCCTATTAAACATAATAGTATATATGCATTTTGAGACACTTCCACTCCATTTACATAATTTCCTCAAGCAAAGCCTCACTTTCATCAATTCACCATCAGGCTTGGAACTGCAACCCAACAAAAAAGAAAAAAAACCACTTGAAAGAGCAGACACATGGTGGAGGGGGTTTAATCATGGAAGCTGACCATGGGATGCAGACTAGGCAAATGGTCAGAGGGAAACTGTGGAATCAATCCCCAGGCCCTTATACACATGAGGGGTAGGGTATATATATATATTCCTCCTAGCTTCACCAAGGCAAGTGAGGAGAGATGTTTTTGTGCTGTGTCTGTAGCTCTCTCCAGCACTGGTCTCAGGACCACATTTCCAGCAGCTGAGGGGGTGGGTTTGGCTGTGTGCTCCCCATTTTCTGCATCTGCTGCTGTTGCAGAGCCTGAGGGGGAGTTCCAGATACACATATTATGGGGGGGGGGGGGGGCACATGCGCCTTGGGTCTGTCTGCTTGCTCTCTCTCTCTCTATAGTCTCTCCCCTCCTTATAATCCCACCCTCCTCCCCCCCCCTCAACTTTCTGCTTTCATCAGTAAGGGTTGTGTTTGTCTCTTACAGAGAGGGAGGGATGCAGGGAGGGGTTGAGGGTGAAGCCTTCACAGCCCCCCCCCCCCCCCCTGCAGGTCTGCCAACTTCCCTCTTTGTGTGATTGCCATGCCGTTTTTCTTTCTTCTCTCTCTCTCTCTCTCTCTCTCTCTCTCTCTCTCTCTCTCTTTTTGAGCGTGCTGTGTGCTGGTATAGGTGATGCTTTGCCATTCTGCTCCCAACGGGGGTGCATGATGAATGAATGTATCACAGAAGAAGTACAGTACTTGACTTGGGTTTCTTTTTACTCTTAGCCTATATAGAGAGAATATACTGTAAATTGAGTCTCCATGCATCACCTTTTTATGTGAAATTCTTTCAGCAAATGCTGGAAAATCTAACAAATTTAATGGGAGATACTGAGATATAATTTAACCAAATTTAATGTCTGAGTATATTTCAGGAAAAAAGTTCCAAGAATCATCAAAGATCAAAAAATTTCCAATCCAGTGGAAGCTAAGACTTCATAATTATTTTTAAATTATGGTCATCCTGAGCATGATCTGAAATGGATTGATTTTCTCCAAAAATCTAGCAAATTTTTGGACTAATTTTGGGTTGTGCTTGCTGTGACAAGCACTTGAAAATGCCACAAAAACGCGTGATTTCCTGCAATCAATTTCCTGTACCAAAATTCAGATGACTTTCAACACTCATCTTCCTTTTATTTCAAAGCCAAAAAAAAAATTGGACTAATCTGGAAACTCTGCATTGACGTTGATGTGAGTTACAATGGGCGTAGCTTACATTTTATTTACTTCATTGTGCAAATTATTTCGCTAATCCTCTTTTTTTTTTTTTAGAGATTTTGAACTCATACATCCCTTTGATTTCCTTCTTTCCTCTCTCATCAGAAGAATGTGTGAACCATAAGACAGATAAAAATATATGCAGTTTATTTGAAGCTTTTTAGGGAATATTTTTTTCTCGCTAATTTCACAAAATGAGAGCCAAGAATGGCTTGTAAAAATTTGATGTGTATTTGACGTCGACTCGTAGAAAAAAGAGACATTTCAAGACGGGACAGAAACATATATGAACCCTGGATAATAAAGAAATAAAGCGGGTCTTCAGTATCTGAGCAGAAGCAATTTGAGAGCCAATAACTGGCTAAAATGACGCAAAATTATCCAAATATTTTCTTCTTTTGTTTCCAAAAAAAAAAGAAAAGTTTTTTTTTTTTTCAATCCCCGCGCAAAAGGACATCCGGCAATTCCTGCATGAGCCGCTTGAACTCTGAGATCTGCTTATTCACGCGACTGGCAACCCTGTCATCCCCGGCCACGTCACTGTTCCTCAACTCCTTCTTGATGCGCTGGTACATTNCTCTCTCTCTCTCTCTCTCTTTTTTAGGGTGCTGTGTGCTGGTATAGGTGATGCTTTGCCATTCTGCTCCCAACGGGGGTGCATGATGAATGAATGTATCACAGAAGAAGTACAGTACTTGAATGGGGTTTCTTTTTATTCTTAGCCTATATAGAGAGAATATACTGTAAATTGAGTCTCCATCACCTTTTTATGTGAAATTCTTTCAGCAAATGCTGGAAAAATCTAGCAAATTTAATGGGGAGTTACTGAGACATATAATTTAACCAAATTTTATGTCTGAGTATATTTCAGGAATAAAATTCCAAGAACCATCAAAGATCAAAAAATTTCCAATCCATTGGAAGCTAAGACTTCATAATTATTTTAAAAATTATGGTCATCCTGAGCATAATCTGAAATGGATTGATTTTCTCCAAAAACCTAGCAAATTTTTTGACTAATTTTGGTTTGTGCTTGCTGTGACAAGCACTTGAAAATGCCACAAAAACGCGTGATTCCTGCAATTTATTTTCTGTGCAAAAATTCAGATGACTTTCAACATTCATCTTCCTTTTATTTCAAAGCCAAAAAAAATTGGACTAATCTGGAAACTCTGCATTGACGTTGATGTGAGTTACAATGGGCGTGGCTTACATTTTATTTACTTCATTGTGCAAATTATTTCGCTAATCCTCTTTTTTTTTAGAGATTTTGAACTCATATATCAATTTGATTTCTTTCTATTGTCTCTCATCAGAAGAAAGTGCGAACCATAAGACAGATAAAAATATATGCAGTTTATTTGAAGCTTTCTAGGGAATATTTTTTTTCTCGCTAATTTCACAAAATGAGAGCCAAGAATGGCTTGTAAAAATTTGATGTGTATTTGACGTCGACTCGTAGAAAAATGAGACATTTCAAGACGGGACAGAAACATATATGAACCCTGGATAATAAAGAAATAAAGCGGGTCTTCGGTATCAGAGCAGAAGCAATTTGAGAGCCAATAACTGGCTAAAATGACGCAAAATTATCCAAATATTTTCTTCTTTTGTTTCCAAAAAAAAAAGAAAAGTTTTTTTTTTTTCAATCCCCGCGCAAAAGGACATCCGGCAATTCCTGCATGAGCCGCTTGAACTCTGAGATCTGTTTGTTCACGCGACTGGCAACCCTGTCATCCCCGGCCACGTCACTGTTCCTCAACTCCTTCTTGATGCGCTGGTACATTTTGTTCATGGCTCTGATTTGCCGGCCAATCGGCGAACGTCCGTCTTGGTCGCCGAAATTGGCAGAGAATTTCTTGAGGTTCGTGTACAACTGATTGAGCACGTTCACTCGGCTCGACAAGGAGCCGTCCGACGGCGGGGAAATGTCCTCTTCTTCTTCTTCCTCCTCTTCGTCGTCGTCGTCGTCGACGGAAGACCGGCGGGATTTTGGCGACCGGGAATTTGTGGCGCGTCGCGGCATCACTGGGATCCTGGAAGCTGGTCTCTCTGCTGGCTTCCTCCTGAAAGGAAAAAAAAAGGAATTTAGCTCGAAATTTTTTTTTTCCGGATATCAAAATGCTGTACAATGAAAATAAAGCAACAAAAGAGCGTTCTTTGAAAATTTTCGAAGGATAAATCTAGTGCAGTATAGTATCGATTTTAAGTTTCGTTTTTATTGAGAATTTTTATTTTCTCGCGTTTTCTTTTTGCATTGAATTTGAGAAAATATTGGTCACATGAAGATCGGGTTCAAATGGAAATTTGAGACTACAGCATGAGACCCCCACATGCGGACACCTAGACCTGCGGACAATTCGACATAGGGACACTTATTTTATCATAAAAAATTAATAAAAATGACCCAAAGTGAGGACACTGACTCAACATAAGGGACATTTTGTCACAATATTGCAAATACATTTTAGGCCAAATTACAAGAAACAAGATATTTCCAACACTAAAATTGATGTAAGAAAAGTTCTTTGGCATATCTATCACCAATTTACCATCCATTTTGCTAATTTAAAAAATTACCTCCAGCATAGAGGGCCTTCCTTCTCTCCTTTTCACTTGAATGTTTTTTTTAAACCAAGAATGCCAACATTTCTATGTACTGTACAGAGGTATCAGTATTAAATTTCCCAAATGCCCATATTGTACGTTGAAACATATTGATTGGAATCAGTTTAAGTTGGGAGGCAATTTTTATTTTCATGGAATTATAGTGAGTATTTTACACATAAAACACCAATTAAAATTATATAATGTAAGTCTAAGGGAAAATGAGACTTGACTTACGGACATTTCGACTTGGGGACACTCTTGATAGACCAATTATGTCCGTATCTCAGGGTCTCACTTTTCAGAAATCGGAAGGGATTTAGCTCAAAATAATGTTAATTTTTCAAATAAGATGATACTTTATAAAGAAAAATCCAATAAATAAACCATTCCTGAAAATTTTTGAAGGATAAATTAAATGCAGTATCGTATCGATTTTGAAACTTTCGTTTTTATTGAGAATTTTCATTTCTTTGCGTTTTCTTTTCACATTGACATTGAGAAAGTTTGGGTCATATGAAGATCGGCTTCAGATGGAAAGTTGAGACTATTTCAGAAATCAGAAGGGGTTTAGCTTAAAATTATGTTAATTTTTCAAAAAAGAAGATTGTTTATGTATGAAGAAAAATCCAATAAATAAATGTTCGTGAAAAATAAAATAAAGTATGAATGAAGTGCATGCAGCGTTTAGTCAATTTTAGAAGTTTTGTTATTAGTGCATATTTTTACTTCTTTGTACTTTCTTATGGTGTTCAAATTGAGGACATTTTTTCCTCCAACACAAATGTTTTTTTTCTAACTCAAAGCTTTCAAATTTTTTTTTTGCTGGTCCCTTGAAGTTTGACTCACTATGAATGGTTCAATTAACTACTTGAAAATGCGTTATAATTATAACCAGAATTTTCCTTGAGGATTAATTCGGGTTTCGTCGTATAAGGAACATTTTTATTTAAAAAAAAAAAGTTGCGTTCCGTTTACCTGGGGGAATCGCGTTTATTGACTTGGGATGATTTTTGCTCGCGTTTGGCCGCATTTTTGCTGTCCTTATGCCTGGAGGTCGGCTCATTAGCGACGATCCTTTTCCTTGATTTCCTGGACTTGTTGTTTTCAATCACTTTACGTTCATCCGGTGAAAGGCTCGAGTCTCCAGCATCACTGAAACACCGAGTTCAAGTTCAGAGTTTCATTAGCTGTTGCTCTGCCCGTGTGCAGCTTTTTTTTTAGGGGTGATATTTTATACCATCTCATGGCGACTTATTTCTGACGTGCTAAAAAATGTAACGTGAAAACACAGGCTTGAATTGAAAATTCTGTATTATTGCCTCATCAGATTTTGACGCTTAGGAAAATTTGACGAGATTTTCATAAAAGAGTCAAATCACTCATACGATTCAAAAATTATTCGAAGCATTTTATAGCACTTGGACAGGTTCCTAATTCAAAATATTTTTAGTATGAAGAAGGTGGAAAACAGAAAAAGGATAATTTCAAGACATGGGTTATTTTAGTATACAATACAGTGAGACCCGCAGATGCGGACATAATTGTTGCATCAAGAGTGTCCCTAAGTTGAATTGTCCCTAAGTCAAGTCTTGTTTTCCCATATTCTTACATTATATAATTGTTAATTGGTGTTTTATGGAGGAAATATTCTTCAGAATTTCATGAAAAAAATTTTTTGCTACTTGAATTTGATTCAGTGAATATCTTTTCAACCCAATAAGAACATTTGGATCATTGAATAGTATACCTCTGTACAGTTCATTGAAATTTTGGCATCGACTCACTACCTGTGCTACAGGTAGTTTTTAGTAATTAGCTGAATGGATGGGAAAGTGATGGGAAAGGTACCAAAGAATTGTTTGTGCTTTCCTGTTATCTCAGTACCTCATTCCTGTTATCTCTGTAACTTCCCTCTGACCAATTTAACCTGACCTAACCTATAACTTCACCTAACCGCCTCCCGGAATCATCTGCTTTCTTTGGGTTTCTGCTGAAACTGATTTTGGGAGGCAGTTAGGTAAAGTTAGGTTAGGTCAGGTTAATTTGCTAATTTAAAAAATTACCTCCAGCATAGAGGGCCTTCCTTCTCTCCTTTTCACTTGAATGTTTTTTTTAAACCAAGAATGCCAACATTTCTATGTACTGTACAGAGGTATCAGTATTAAATTTCCCAAATGCCCATATTGTACGTTGAAACATATTGATTGGAATCAGTTTAAGTTGGGAGGCAATTTTTATTTTCATGGAATTATAGTGAGTATTTTACACATAAAACACCAATTAAAATTATATAATGTAAGTCTAAGGGAAAATGAGACTTGACTTACGGACATTTCAACTTGGGGACACTCTTGATAGACCAATTACGTCTGCATCTTAGGGTCTCACTTTTCAGAAATCAGAAGGGATTTAGCTCAAAATAATGTTAATTTTTAAAATAAGATGATACTGTACTTTATAAAGAAAAATCCAATAAATGAACCGTTCCTGAAAATTTTTGAAGGATAAATTAAATGCAGTATCGTATCGATTTTGAAACTTTCGTTTTTATTGAGAATTTTCATTTCTTCGCGTTTTCTTTTCACATTGACATTGAGAAAGTTTGGGTCATATGTTCTAGCCGAAGTCTACCTTTCAACTCTGATAAAGTCTTTAGTCTTCCCCAAATCGAATTTTAATACAATTAAAAAGTTTTTTCTTCTAACAAATACATACTTCTTTTTAGGTTATTTATTTACAAGGTGAAAAATAAAATAAAGTATGAATGAAGTGCATGCAGCGTTTAGTCAATTTTAGAAGTTTTGTTAATACTGTAGTGCATATTTTTACTTCCTCGCACTTTCTTATTGTGTTCAAATTGAGGACATTTTTTCCTCCAACACAAATGTTTTTTTTTCTAACTCAAAGCTTTCAAATTTTTTTTTGCTGGTCCCTTGAAGTTTGACTCACGAAGAGTGGTTCATTTACTGCAATTGAAAATGCGTTATAATTATAACCAGAATTTCTTGAGGATTAATTCGGCTTTAGTTGTATAAGGAACTTTTTTATTTTACAAAAAAGTTGTGTTCGGTTTACCTGGGGGAATCTCGTTTATTGACTTGGGATGATTTTTGCTCGCGTTTGGCCGCATTTTTGCTGTGGAATACGGACCTCCAGCCGAGTAATCGCTGCTAGGAAAAGGAACTAAAGTAGCTGAACAACAACAGTTAGTGAAATGCAAGTAGGCCACTTTCCGAGCTCAGAGGTCGTAGTGACTTTGTGGCTCAGCAATCAATTTCCTGTACCAAAATTCAGATGACTTTCAACACTCATCTTCCTTTTATTTCAAAGCCAAAAAAAAAATTGGACTAATCTGGAAACTCTGCATTGACGTTGATGTGAGTTACAATGGGACCTTATGCCTGGAGGTCGGCTCATTAGCGACGATCCTTTTCCTTGATTTCATCGACTTGTTGTTGTCAATCACTTTACGTTCATCCGGTGAAAGGCTCGAGTCTCCAGCATCACTGAAACACCGAGTTCAAGTTCAGAGTTTCATTAGTTCATTCTCAGTCTGTGTGCAGCTTTTTTAAAGGGATATTTTATGCCATCTTATAGTGACTTATTTCTGACGTGCTAAAAAATGTAACGTGAAAACACAGGCTTGAATTGAACATACTGTATTATTGCCTCATCAGATTTCGACGCTTAGGAAAATTTGACGAGATTTTCATAAAAGAGTCAAGTCACTCAGACGATTCAAAAATTATTCGAAACTTTTTATAGCACTTGGACGGGTTCCTAATTCGAAATATGTTTAGCATAAAGAAGGTGGAAAACAAAAAAAGGATAATTTCAATACATGGGTTATTTTGGTACACAATACAGTGAGACCCGCAGATGTGGACTTAATTGGTGCATCCAGAGTGTCCCTAAGTTGAATTGTCCCTAAGTCAACTCTTGTTTTACCATAGTCTTACATTATATAATTGTTAATTGGTGTTTTATGGAAGAAATATTCTTCAGAAGTCCATGAAAAAAATTTTTTGCTACTTGAATTTGATTCAGTGAATATCTTTTCAACCCAATAAGAACATTTGGAGCATTGAATATAGTATACCACTGTTCAGTTCATTGAAATGTTGGCATCTGTAAAAATAACATCCAAGTCACAAAAGAGAAGAAAGTCCCTCATCTGTGCTACAGGTAGTTTTTGTAATTAGCTGAATGGATGGGAAAGTGATGGGAAAGGTACCAAAGAATTGTTTGTGCTTTCCTGTTATCTCAGTACCTCATTCCTGTTATCTCTGTAACTTCCCTCTGACCAATTTAACCTGACCTAATTTACACCCTAGTGGAAGGTTGGTATAGTTTGAATAGAAGTAAGAGATTTTTGCAACAGCAATTTCAGCAAATCAACAAATGCTCTAGTCTTTTGTGTGAGACTGACTCAGAGCAACTGATGGTGATCTTGTCCTAACAATTTGTCTGGATGGTAGTGCAGTCTAGGAATGAGGTACTGAGATAACAGTAAAGTAAAAATTTTTTCTCACATAGATCTTTGGATTGGAAATATCTGTTTCTTGCAATTAAGCCAAATAAAAGTCAATTCTCCTAAAATTTATTGGCTATTTTATCATCCAATGTCCTCATTTTGAGTCAGTGTCCCTATGTGTGGCCTTTTTTATGATTCTTTCATTGAAAAATAAATGTCTTTATGTTGAATTGTCCCCATGTCAAGGTGTCCGCATGTGGTGGTCTCACTGTAATTTAAAACTAGTTAATGCCATTTTTTCTTCAGTTGATCAATTTTGGTATTAATTTAGCCTCTTTCTGAACACTTCCAGAAATAATTTCGAAAGAGCTGAGCTAAGATGCTCAAAATTTATGAATAAGCCATCTTTCAATCAGTTAACTGATTGAGAGAAAAACATTATGAAAATCTCGTTATACTTTCATTTGACGGCGAGATTTTGAAGTCACCTGCGGTAGTTATTGACGTCGTTATCCTCGTCATCATCGTAATAATCATCATCATCATCGCACAACAACGAGTCCAGGCAGTTGAGAATGTCCCGGGGAACTTTGCTGGACTTTATGTAGGTTGTGCAGTCAGTGACGTCCTCGTCTTCGTCCCTGTTTTTCCTCTCAAACCTTCTAGTCTTGGGCGAATGAGTGTCAGTCTTGGGAGCAGGATTACTGTGTGCTGTTTTTCTGCACTTTGGCGTGACCTGGTTATTGGCGACAGTCGCTTTTTGCTGCTGAGTTCTCAGCGACGTTTTCGGCTCTGGTGGACTGTCCGTTCCTGATTATATTTTTTTGTGTGTGTGTGAAAAATCACGAGCAATGAGCGAGGATAAAATTTCAAGTTAATACTATCTTGAGCTGAAGAAATATTTGGCGAACTTTGATGAAGGTATTAAGGCCTTCACTTTGAAGGCAAAAAAGTGCAGATGAAAGTGCGTAGTTCAATTTCAAATTGATTCACCGTGTAAACTGATGAAATCATGGCTTCATAAATTTTAATTGATTTCTAGAAGCGTTCAGAAAAGGCTAAATTAATCTAAAAATTGATTAACTGAAGAAAAATTGGCCCTAAGTAGTTTTAAATTATACATAATCCTTTTTTCGTTTTCTACCTTCTATAATAAAAGTGTTTCGAAGAGGAACCCGTCGAAGTGCTATAAAATGTTTTGAATCATCTGAGTGACTCTAGTTTTTCAGCTTTCAAGAATTTAAAAATTTAGAAAAGTATTTGTTGGATATTCGCTAGTTCAATTTAAATAATGATGAATTTAAATATTGCACTTGTGTATACATGGATAAAAAAAATTTTTAAGTCTCAGCAGCAATTGAAGAAAATATTGCTTTAATTCTTTTAATTTAATTTCGCATGGGCTGAAAAGATTCTAAATATTTTGTGAGTCAGGAATTAAATTTAAAAGTACTTGTGCATCATTATACTGATACTGATGAATAAATAAATTTAATACCCATTTGCTAAAACCCCTAAAATCGTTACCTGACTGCTGAGGTTTGAAAGTACGTCTCCTTTTTTGAATCCCAGAGCTTTTCGTTTCCTGTTTCGCTTGCTTTTCAGTTTGACCAGCAATACTATATTTTCCCGCTGTTTTTGCGTCTGCTACTTCATTTTCGTAATTTTCCGACTCTTCGCTGAAGTCCTTAATGAGGCTTTTATTTTTATTCCCTCTTCTCTTAGTGTAAGTCTCTTGCTTGTCGCTTCGACGCGGACTTGTTTTAGTCCGAGCCTTGTAAGTGTCTTCAGCAGTTATTTTCTTGGGAGAACAGTGACGATTTCGCGTAGGAGACGCTCGCATTTTGCCAACGGGTTCGTCCTTTTCTGTCGCCGAGAAAAGGTCGTCTAAGTCGTGTGTCCATTTGTTGTTTCGGGTCATCCATTTGTCAGTGTTGATCGGTGGTTTGTTCCTGACTTGATTGGCTTCTTCTGCTCCGAGGACGTAAGTGCCTGAAGAGGTTTCCGAGGCGAACGATCGGTTCGATCTGACGCTATTTTTCCGAGGCTTCGGGGACCTGATGGAAGCAAGCAACGACGCTCATGATTTCCATGTGAAATGTAGTGTGCACGTTTTTGTGCTCAAAACATAGATGTCGTGCTGCGCGACCAAAGAAGTAATCAACTGCGTAATGCATGAAATGTTGCGCATGAGAAGCTCGAGTATTTGTGGAAAATGTGTTTAACGTTGGATGAATTAGTCTATGATGAACGAGAATCTTTCAAAACCTCTTGTTATTGATGGGATGCATTTCAGTTGTGCTTTCTTGCTGCTTCTTCGCTTCGTAAATTGGGTCGCTAGTGTTCTCTAGGCTTCGATTGTCCAGAAACCCCGCGGGCAGTTTCCGATCAACGTACATAGATGACACTGCGTGCAAACAACTCTCGCTCGCCACGACTTTCGCAGCGTCGCCGGCGGCGCAACCCAAGTCGTCCCAGTCAAATTCCTCGGGTTTCCTTCGATGACACGCCATCAAAACCAGTTTCCTTCTCAATGCCGCCACGGTGCGTTTCATTTTGAGAATCGTGTCAGACAGGGACCGGATTTTGGCGCAATAGTTCTTCTCTAGAGAGTGAGTGGTGTCGATGAGCTCTTTGATTTTGGCGTTCATGCGACGCTTGTCCTCTTGCAATTGGCGGCTGTGTTCGGCGCTGGCCATGAGGACCAGGGCCGCCTTTTGCATCACGGTCTCGGCTTCTCTGTTCCCGGCCAGGTGGCCTTTAGTCGCGTCTGTTGAGATTTATAGTTTTTTTTTTTGTGTGTGTGTGTGTGGAAAAATGGAAAAATATGGTTTAGTGAACGCGAATCGCTTCAGCCATGAACGTATGCAGAGCACGCAAGTAGTGCGAAAATGACCTCGTTTTTGGCGTAATTTTATCTGGAGCATAAAATTGGGGACGCACTTCTTTTATTCTTGGTAGTTCCGTTTAAATAAAAATAAAAGTTACAATACGTAGTCCATTTATTGGGAGAAGAAAGTTTCAAGAAAGCTGAACTGAATTTATGACATTCAATTCAATGTCTTATTTTTTATTTTTACACTTTATTGACATGACCATGTTTTTCTTCATTGAATTATTTCTAGTGAGTGATTCATTTCTTGCTTTGATAGCTTATATTTTATCATAATTAAAATTTTGCCAATCTAACTGAAGCTTTAAAATACCGTTTAAGTCTATCTGAATTCTGAAGTGAATAAATTATTTTTCGAATTCTTGAATTTAAAATTTAGAAGTAACAGCTGATTTTTGAGCAACAATAAAAATGAATATTACAGATTTTTTTTATTTGATGGAAATTTATGGATAGTTGATGACTCACTGCTGGTCATCACTCTTGCCAATTGTTTGCTCAATGCAGTCATCCTGTCATACATGTCATTGTCAGATAAATATCTGGCTGTAGAATCATTGTGTGGTGGCGGCTGTTTAACATCTCCACCGCCTCTTTGTGGAGATTTGCCTCCTGCAAACAAAAATGTTAACATTTTTGAAAAAGTGGACATTTTTTGTCAGGGGAGTTTGAGCTTGTCTGTCATACTGTATTTACTTGAGTACCACATGCACCTTTTTTCTCAAATTTCAGAATAGAAAAAGGGATGCGCGTCATAAGCGGGTACAAATTTTTCAAGAAGTTTTAGGAAGTTATGTGTGCATTATACTTCATGCATTATACTGGGGAAATTTGGGAAAAATGTAACAAGAAAACTTTTTTGTACTGAACAAGTTGAAAATTGATCAGTTTTTTGTTCAATTCATGTCTAAAGTCAATTTTTTGTTTTTATTTTCAAAATTTGGTGGCTTAAGATTCACTAAAAATTGAGGTGTGCATATTACTTGGGGATAAGATTTCAGCCAAATTTCCACCTGAAAAACCCCTGTGCATGCCTTAATCAAAGGCGCGTGGTACTTGAGTAAATGCAGCGCATGGTACTCCAGTAAATACAGTATTATCTTGAAGCTGGAAATTCAATGTTTTCTTTCCATTAAACCTAGCATTTCTAAAAAATTCAGGTTGTGAGAATAGAAAAATAAGACTGGGCTGTGGAAAATTTAAAAGTCCCACCAATATTAATGAAATTGTGTGTTACAGTATCATGAACACAAAAGGTTAAGGGGAAAATTGGTCAACTTCAGCAAAATATATTATTTGGAGATCCAAAAATTATAAATAAAAATTCACCCACGATCTTGAATCATGTTTGAAAACTTTTTATAAAATTAACGAGAAAAGCAAACTTTGTCTTGTATGCATGCAACAATGGGAATCAACATCGAGACACCAGTGACATCTGTCCAGGACTGAACGGTTCACAATGTTCGCTCCAGATGTCGCCGGTGTATGAAAATTATCTTTTGCGTCCTTCAAAATCGAAAAAAATGAAAATCTATATGCGCAAGTTCGGGAAAAAAAATTGTGATTAACTTAACTATATTCAGTGGAGTTAAATGACCTTCCAAACGCAAATCATGTTCTTCTTTTCGTGGCCAAAATCCAGTCAATTTTCCAATTCTATCGTTAAAAAAAAAAACCTGAAGGCCACAGATAAATTTCCACTGTAGTGGCATAAATTTTACCTCCCCCGAAACCCTGCGGTTTTCTTTTTTTTTTTCACGCATAATTCCGCACTCTCTGCTACTGGAAACACTCCTCGCCATTTTATTTTAAAACATCTCCCTAAATGTCACTTTTTGGCGATATTTATTTTGTGTGAGAAAGAAAATCGTTTGTCAGACGCCCGTCTGCCACCTGGCTCGATTGTGAAACCCCCAAAGTCACCTGTCGGGTCCTTCTAAGGATGCCAAAAAAAAATAAAGTGAAAAATAAAAGAGAAAACCCGTGCCCTTGACGGGAATTTACACTTGGGACTCACCCGTCGCCATGATGAAGAGGACCCAGTTGAATAATTCCCACGACTACGTCACAGAATCTCCAGAGTAAATCAGCAACAGCAGCATTTCTTTCCGATTCGCGCAACAACAAATATAATAATAATAAACGCTTTCAGAAGATATTATTGACAGTGATTATGGATGATGATGATGACTATGAAAAAGACCGGGGGTGTAGGAAATATTGAGAATACGGAAGAAAGAACAGGTGCGAAAAAGAGGAGGGGGAAAATGAGCGAAACTATAGAAAAAAGGGGTTTTATTCCACTTTCGGCCAAATGCTTATATATATGTGTGTGTGAGGATGAATAAAAGTCCAGAGGAAAGTTTTTTTTTATATCCTCTTTTATATATTTATTTATGTGGTTTCTTTTTACGCTATTTGTTGGGAGTTTTGCGGTGTGTGATGAGGTAAAGAAGAAGATGAAGAAGAAGAGGAGGAAAAACGAAAGGAGGGAGTTTTTCGCTGTCTTTTTATTTTTTATTTTTTGGGTTGAAGAGGCTTTGAAAGGGCCTGAGCTTCGCGGGCAGATTTTTCAGACCGAAACGAATTGGCATGCTTCAGCTTCTCTTTTCTTTTTTTCTTTCTCTTTTCTTCCTTAGCTTCAATCATTGTTTTATATTCGGATTTTTGAATTCCCTGCAGTGACGAACTCGAGCTTATTGTTGGCTCATTTGCCCGCTTTTTTTTTTATATCATTTGGCAGAAGCACGTGTGAAAGTCGTTTATTCTGCTTGTGTTTTGTTTGTTGTAGGGGAGTGTTTTTTTTCTGGTCGATTGAGCTTTTCGTGGAAAAACGCCTTGGGGGTTATTCGAGTTGAACTGTTGAAAAATATGCTGCGAAGCGATTTTTCTAAATTGCCTGGAATTTTTTCTGAAACCTGAACCATGCAGAACTAAATTATTATTTAGTTCGAAAGTTCGCTTGAAAAATTCCGTCAGCTGTTTTCCAAGGTAAAAGAGTAAACATAAACCAAAATTGTTGAATACAGAAAAAGTGACCGTGGCAAATTTTTTTTCTCAAATTAAAAGCGGTTTTTTTTCACTGTTCATTTCCGTGTGAGAAAATATTTTTCTTCGTTTTGACAATGATCCTGAAAAAACTGAGGAAAAAAACATCATCACTAACTTGAGTATTCATTCTTAGACTCTGCTTAATATTATTTAGTGAATTTTAACTGTTATGACGATTGAGAAAGGATATCTCCCGATGTTAAATGAAAATTGCTAATGGCTGATTTTTGTAATCGATAAAATGCTTAACAGAAATATTTTTTAACGATTGTTTCGTTATGGTGGATATATACAGTGTCTTTCCGAGTGAGTGACAAAGTTCACGAGGTTTATATAATAGAAAATTTCGGAATGTCTTGTTGAAAACGTGAAAATTTTAAGGCTGTAACTGTTTTTGTTGTAACAGTTGCAGAAAAGTTTTTTTTTTTAACTGCTAAAAACATTTTAATGTTAGTCAATTTCATATAAGTAGTTATTTAGCGTCTCGTTGGGAGTAAAATTCTTAAAATCTTTCAAATTCCAATTTTCTTCTGCTTCACTATGAAAAATAAAAATCTTGCTGAAAAACTATTTTCAACTTGGATCAAAAGCAAAATAATCCAAAGACATCTGATAATGTGGACAAAAATTTCCTTGTAACATTGTGAAATAATTCATTCTAACAATTGTTCAAACAATTTTGATACTAATTCAGATGATTGTAGACTAAAATCTATTATGTGACATTTGAGCAAGTGGCATTTTAGCATGCAACACTTCAGTGTGTGACATTTAAGCATGGTGACTTTTCAGCATGGGGAAATTCTAGCAAGGCTACAGCAGTTTAGCATGTACCCATTTCAGCAAGTTGACAACTGAGCATTCAACACTGCATCATTTCAGCATGTTTTTTTTACACCTCTGGAGAAATCACTCAGAAAATCCTGCAGCAAGTTGCCCATAAAATTTCAATGGCAAAATAAATCAAACTTGTCAAACCCACTCATTTAAAATTTTCATATACTGCATTATTGGTATCATGTTTTCATGCTGAAATGATGCATGTGCAAAATTTTTGCCTGCTTAATATAGTAGTGCTATGTGCCATGTTGTAATGCTGGAATTGCCCCATGCTCATGAGTCTCCTTGCCAAAATGTTCAAATGCTCAAATGTTGCTTGCTGAAGTGATGCTTGCTCAAATGTCAGCTAACCACTAAAAACATTGTACTTCCTAACTTGGGTGTTATTGTTATTGCAATTACAGTGAGACCCCCACATGCGGATGCATTGACCTGCGGACAATTTGACCTTGGGACACTTATTTTACCATGAAAAAATCACAAAAAAGTCCCTCGATGAGGACATTGACTCGATATAGGGACATTTTGCAATAAAATTGCAAATAAATTTCAGGAAAAATTACAAGAAACAGATGTTTCCAACCCTAAACTTTATGTAAGAAAATTTCTGGGGCATTTCTCTCCCCAATTCACCATCTATTTAGCTAATTTAAAATAATTACCTCCAGCATAGAGAGACTTCCTTCTCTCCTTTTCACTTGAATTTAATTTTACAGAAAATGCCAACACTTCTATGCACTGCTGTACAGATGAGGTATCAGTATTCGATTCACCAAATGTTCATATTGTGTTGGAATACATTGATTGAATCCGTTTAAATTGGGAGAAAATTTTTATTTTCATGGAATTAGGGTGAGTATTTTGTGCATGAAACACCAATTGAAAATTATATAATGTAAGTCTAAGGGAAAATGAGACTCAACTTGGGGACATTTCAACTTAGGGACACTCTTGATGCACCAATAACGTCTGCATCTCGGGGTCTTGCTGAATTAATCTTTTAATGAATGGAAGTCTTTTGGCCTTTTTTTCTCATAAAAAATCTCTAAATTTGCTCTCTATAAATCAATATCCAGAATTGATGAAGCACCTGTTCAATTCGAAAATCGCGTTATTCAACTATTTCAAGTTTAATTCCACAGCCCTGACTTATTGATTTGCACCAGCATCAACCGCGTCAATAAGTGAATCCATGCTGAGTCATGGTCCTTCAATGATGACTGTCATAAATACAGCAACAATAAAAATAAGAATCACCCCCCCCCCCTCTTCTCCAAATAACAAGCAAATGCGGAAGTTGCTGATCATCATCATCACCATCATACATGTGCGCAGAAAAATATTTTTTTTCTCTTTCTTGGATTGTGTTCCGGATCTAAATCTCGGCTGGATGAGAAGTGTTGAATTTCCGAGGATGATGAGGACATGTGGCGACTTTCTATAAGCATGAATATGAGGTGCTAGTTGAGAGAAGGGCTTCTGAAGTCGCAGCATCTCATCCTGGCAATTCAAAACCTGGGAACGAGGAAAAGTTGTGACACTGCTTCGATTTATGTGTGAGAACCACTTCTATATATGCCTCATCTCGTGATGCAGGAAGAGAGGATTTTTTCTTATAAAATGAAAATACTGTACAATATTTTGTTTATTTTTATCTGATTTTTGGCTGTGAAATTTGATTCTGAAATCTGATATTAGGTTTGAGATTCTCAGATTGAGTGGGTTGCTTTTTTTCATGCATGGAGCCTCTATTTTAAAATTTGTGGACTTTTGTTCCTGCTCAGAACTATAATGAGAAATGTTTTTTAAATCTAAAATTTTTCCAAACGTATTTTTTAAACTTGCTCGCTATTCAAAGTTGGGAATGAGAAAAGTTGTGACATTGCTTTGATTTATATGTGAGAACTACTTCTATATGCCTCTCATGATGTTAAGAACAGTTTTGAGTTTTGAAAGGAGAGTAGATTTTTCAGGTTTGAATTCTTTTGAAATAAATTTTTAGAGAACAATCAGCCGGGCTGCGGCCGGGATGCTTTACACCCTAGTGTAAGGTTGGTATATTTTGAATAGAAGTAAGAGATTTTTGCAACAGCAATTTCAGCAAATCAACAAATGCTCTAGTCTTTTGTGTGAGACTGACTCAGAGCAACTGATGGTGATACATACAATCTATTAAGTTTTTAAACTCTTTTGTTTCATGAAGTTTTGTCCCTGAATGGAATGATCCCTTTTTTGGATTTATTCCTGTCATGATGCAGACAGAAGGGGGTTTCTTAAAATGAAAATGCAATATATTTTATTTTTATTTTTTTCTCTGATCATGGTTGCGAAATTTGATTCTGAGGTCTTAATATTAGGTTTGAGTTGTGTCCTTTACCTATAATAGAGCCTATGTTTTAAATTTATGGAGTTTTGTTTATTGGAATCAATGAGAAGAGTTTCTGATTTCTAAAATGCGTCAAACGTAATTTCTAGACTTCTACAACAAGCAGCTGTTGCAGCATCCTCAAAATTAAAAGTTGTGACACAGCATCGATTTATGTGAGAATGACTTCTATTCATGGGATGCAGGAAGAGAAGGTTCTTTTTTAATGGAGGTAAAAAATAATAATTCATTTTTTCTCTGATTTTCGTTCAGAGAAATTTGATACAGAAGTCAAATACTGTACTTTGTTTCAGTTCTTCAGAATATATGAGAAAGTTGCTTCATTTTCCTGGAGCATCTCAGTTCTTCGAAACTAATGATAAATGGCTTTAAAATGTGTTTCAAACGTTTGTTTTTCAACTCTTAAAAGCTGTTAAATTGCTTGACTTTATCTGGGAAAACTTCTTTTTGGGATGTGGGAAGAAATGTCATTCTTATTGAAGTGAATGGAGATATATTTTATTTTTCTCACGGAGGTTCAGTGAAATTTGATTCTGATGTTCAATAATAGGTTTAATTTTCTCAGAATGAGCCGCTTGCTGCCTTTTCCTGGAGCTTCGATTGTACAATTTTTTGAATATTAGTTCCCCACAACGAGTGAAAAAATGTTTCAATCTTCTAAAATGTATTTTAAATTTCTATACAAGCTGTCGAAGTTATTCAATTTAACTGAAGCAGACATACGGAAAAGAGGGTACTGTAATTTAAACTCGAGTAATTTTTGAAGTATGACATCTTCCTGAAACCCAGTTTTTAAAATTCTTCGAAATTTGCGTATTATTTGATTTTTTTCACACGCATTTCCAATCAGAAGATTGATAGGATATTATGTCGTGTAGCTTTGATATTGCTCTTTGATCGCTTTTCTTATTTTTTTCGCTGATAAAATGCATTACAAAATTGGCTTCAAAATCATCCGAGTTGGACACAAGTCCAAAAATAAAAGTTCTCATCAAGCTTTCATCGTTCAAGAATCTGCGCGAAACTTCCTCAAGGACTATTGCAAAACATCTTCCCACATCATGACTCACATTCCCTCAAGATTTTTTCTCTCCAAAATGCGCGGAATTTTCTCACATTCCACGAAATTCTTTATTCTCTTCGGCTTAGTCTGGAATTGAAGAAAATTTAACGGAATAAGCAAAAAAACCACGACTGTGAAAACTGTTCAAAAGGGAAACG